AGGCAAGTTGGGTTTGGAGGATTTTGGGCTTCATCATCAACGATTCTTCAAGCTTGGGTAATAATCTTTCTTTCCCTCATGCTTTAAATTGGTTCTTTTCTCTTGAACCCTCCAAATTTCAAAACCCTAATTTTTTTGATTTGGGGAAAAATCAAATCTTGATTTTTGATCCTTGAAAGTTGGCCGAAAATTAGGATATGTATTCCCTCACTTTTGATCTCAATACTTTCTTAATTCCATGCACATGTATGGCCGAATTTGGGGGTGTTTTATGCAAATATGAGGCTGAAATTTGGGGCTGAAAATGCAAAAATAGGGCTGAAATTTGAGGGTGTTTTATGCAAATATGAGGCTGAAAATGCAAATATGGGACTGAAATTTGGGGCTGAAAATGCAATTATGGGACTGAAATTTGGAGGGCTTTTGTGTAAAGAGAGGGACCGAACTTTGAGGGGGTTATACGCAAAAGAGGGCTGAAATTTTGGAGGTTTTTTTGTGCAAATATATGGCTGAAATTTTGGGGGTTTTTTGTGCAAATATATGGCTGAAATTTTGGGGCTGAATAGTGCAAATATGGGTTGGAACTTGGGGGGCTTATTTGCAAAATGGGACTGAAATTCGTGGGGACTTTTATGCAAAGATGGAACTGAAATTTTGAGGCTTGGATTCATGTCCATTTGATTAAGAAAAGTGAAGGGTGCTTTATGCAAGAGTTGTTGAGGGGTTAATTTGCAAAACAGCCCATAAATGTCTTAGAGGGGCTTGTTTGCAAAAAGGCAGCGAATTTATGGCTGAAATCCAAGGAGTTTAGACCACAAATTCATGATCAAAATTTTGATAAAGGCATGTGGAGACCAAACCAAAATTTGTGGAGGGGTTTTTATGCAAAATTGACTAAATTCTGCAAAAGGGTTTATTTGCAAAAGTTAACCAAAATTGTGGGGTACCAGGGTGTTAGATGATCGAATATGATGATCATGACCCAGATCGCGCATGTCCTTGACCTGAATTTGGCCTTACTTTTCGGGTCGCTATGGTGACACGCTGATTGACGAGGAGAAACCTAGAAGTGACCGGACTGTTCTCGATGCTGGTTGCTTCCGCTGGTTAGTGAACATCCGCGTTGGATATCTTGTCCTTCGGGTGAAGAATCAATACCACATAGAGCCTTACCTCCCTTGCCGCTTTGCTCGTCAGTTCGGCTATGACCAACTGTATGTCGGGAAAGTTCTCAATTTTCTTTTTAAATTTCGTGTATTCATTTTTAGATTGTACCTGACTTGCTGCTTTTTTTTTTATTGCAGATTTTCGATGTCTCCATGTCGACCTCGACCTCGTAGGAATCGTTCTCGTTCGCAGCACAGCGAGGAAGAGGTTCCCACGACATCTTTCCTAGCGGACTTTTCCTTTGGGGGTGAGAATTTACATTTTCTGTATCCCTGATTGACCTCTTAGCGGGTCATTAAGGAAGAACCGATACCTCTCTCGCGGAGGTTAAGGTTTCGGACTTGTTGGTTCTGCTATATCCTCGCTTGGCCGCTTCGCGGGTCATTCGGGAAGAACCGACATCCTCTCAGGACTGATTGACCTCTTAGCGGGTCATTAAGGAAGAACCGATACCTCTCTCGCGGAGGTTAAGGTTTCGGACTTGTTGGTTCTGCTATATCCTCGCTTGGCCCCTTCGCGGGTCATTCGAGAAGAACCGATATCCTCCTTCGCGGGGGTCGAGGTTTCAGACTTGGTGGCTCTGCTGTATCCTCGCTTGGCCCCTTCGCGGGTCATTCGGGAAGAACCGACATCCTCCTTCGCAGGGGTCGAGGTTTCAGGACTTGTGGCTCTGCTGTATCCTCGCTTGGCCCCTTCGCGGGTCATTCGGGAAGAACCGACATCCTCCTTCGCGGGGGTCGAGGTTTCAGGACTTGTTTTGCCTGGCCAATTCAAGTCTTTCGGTATATTGGGGCGATATTGTGTTGTCTTACACTTTGTAGGTCGGTATATGTTACCACGTTGTTTATGTGATGACGCATACCGTTCTTTCAGTGTGGGACACTCAAAATCGTCACTCCAATTGCCCCCGTGGATGACTTAGTTCGATCTCTTGTGAGATGGATTTTCTGACTCCGTTCTTGTGTTTTGTTACAGTCGAGTTCCCCTCGAGCAGTCTTCCTCCTCATGCCAATACTGGTTGTAGCCGGGAGGTCTTCTCTTCAGCTTCCATCCGGCAGGCCGTCAGTCCACTCCCTCAGTTTGACAGAGATCGTTCCGATGAATCTTGTCGTCTGATACGGGAAGGAGGGCGTCATTGCTTGCGCCAGCTTATTACGGATGCCTCCTTTACCGCGGATTCCACCTCTACTCAGGCTTTAAGGAAGCCGAGTTTCTTGTTCGGAGATCGCGTCGAGGACCCTGCTACGCTGACCCTTACTGAGGAACACTGGCTGAATCTTGATGAAGGAGCTCTCTTGTACATTCCCTCCATTCCTCGCCAATATTCTTTCACTCATTTGAGGGGACAGGCCGTGGGGCGACAGATGTCCTGGGATCTTACTAAGGATGCTGAGCGAGTTCCGTGTGGATATACCTCTCATCACAAGACTCCCGGTTCTAGCGGGTATCATGATATTCGTGGTCTTCGGCCAGGGATCGTGGGCCTTGACACCGCACCCCCATGCGAGGTGTCAGCAGCTGCTCCTACTGTGAGTAATCGTCTGGCCCTTCTGGGGAGGAGATTACCTCCACCAGAGCCTAGATGCTATGGTTGGGCTTCCTCACTAGCCAAGGGATGGTGAGCCCGCATGACCAGTTTCGTTTTGGCGCGCTGGGAGAGGGATTTGAAGAGCAGTGGATTGTATGCACCTATACGAGCCACCATGTATGGACTCCCGGTCAGCTGTCGCCATTTCTTGGCGTTGTTAGAGACATACATGCCTGATAGTAACACATTCCTGACCAGCGGCGGAGAGTTAGGGTTGGCCCTGCATGAGATGCATCAGGTTTCTGGTCTTCCGATGGGGGATTGTCCGTATCAGGAGTACTTTCCCTCGAACCAGCAGTTGGAGTGGTTGAAAAAAGATACTCCCGATATGTATGACACTCTTTGGGACCTCACTTGTCACTATTATACCTCCTTGATCCAGACTTCTCTTCAAGCGAAAAGGAAGAAGCAGATCAGCTTGAAGCAGTTTGCTTGCTATTTGTTCCAGAATTTGGAGGGTGACTCCAGCGGTTCCATTCGTGAGTTAGATGTGTTGACCCCTTCCGCCATTAATGAGTTGGTGGAGAAGGCTGAGGCTCGTTCTTACACCATTGCCAGTGCTGAGGGAGCTTTTCCTGCGGGAACCAAGTTTCGTTCGTTTCTCCGCTGCAGTTCAGCTAGCTTACGGGAGAGAGCTTTCCCTGCTCCCAGCGATGGTTGCTAGCATCCATTGTGGGCTTAGGTGTCTAGTCAGCAGTTTTACACAGAGGGGCTCTGAACCATCGACTGAGCTTATTTGTCCGAAGGTCGAGCTTCCTTACGCTTATCTGATGGCGTGGCTCGTTCTTCACCGTCCTGACTTGATGTCGGCGCCCAGCGTTGTTGATGTCCCCGTTCCTTTCATACAGCTGTTGGAGAAGAGTAGATGGCTCGGGCACAAATTCAGTGATGTTCAGCGAGAGCTTCGAGTCCGTAAAAGCTGGGAGTTCTTCAAGTGTTTTCCTCACTTTTCGGGTCGCTATGGTGACACGCTGATTGATGAGGAGAAACCCAGAAGTGACCGGACTGTTCTCGACGTTGGTTGTTTCCGCTGGTTAGTGAACATCCGTGTCGGGTATCTTGTCCTCCGAGTGAAGAATCAATGCCACATAGAGCCTTACCTCCCTTGCCGCTTTGCTCGACAGTTCGGCTATGACCAGCTATATGTCGGGAATCCAAGTCGTAGCCTGCAGGTTGAGGGAGGACTGATTGACGGCATACGAGCATGGCTGTGGACTATGGTGGGCTGCACCGGAGCCCATTTTGCTCTTCCTTCATATAGGCGTAAGCCACTGACCACTTTCCTCAGTTGCAAGTGGTTCCTTTCCGCCTACGAATCTATCGGTGTGAGGAGCCTTTCAGAATTACAGTCCGAGCACTTGGTCCGGGCTGCTATGATGGCTGGTCGCAGGGCTGAGCTTGCTCAGAAGCGGAGAAAAGGGCACACCAAATCTCTTCTCACAGACGAGGAAGAGCTCCTCCCTACGGGTGACGATGACGGGACCTCCGAGGAAGAATATGTGGATGCAGATACCGACCGAGAAGAACTCGATACCGGTTTGTCCTTCCTCTTTGATTTTCCTTCTCCATTCTAATTGGTATAAATGATAGCTCTTGTTTGACCATTGTCACTTTAGGTAGGACAGTTGACGATCATGAGCCGCCAGCTTTTACACGCGCTGAAACGTGTGACAAGCCTGTGCATGATCGACCCGTCGGTCCTAGGAGGGTTGGTGCCCCGAAGAGGAAGAAGACCGCACATAAGCCCCACGACGGTCAGCGTCCTTATGGAGTGGACTTAGGAAGCACCGTCGATGGAGGGGATGGTAACATTTTATTGCCATTGCTTTAAGGTTGTTTACCTTTTGGGATTTGTAACCATGTTTCATGCTCCAGGTTTCTTCGAAGAGGGTGAACTCCCACCGGGTTCGGTATCTCCTGGTGCTGATAACATGGATTGCTTTATGCAACAGATGTGCGACGCCCTTCACGACGGGTCTTTGGGCATCGATCTAAACATCGATCTTGAGCAGATGAATAATGTTGAGCCCACAGTCCCATGTTCAGGTATATCTACATCCAATGCTACTTTCCTCAAGCATGGGGAAGGAAGATCTTTCGTTTTTGCTGAAAGTATTTTCTCGAGCTTTCCTCATCTTTCAACATTCAGGTTACCCTGCAGATGTTGCGATGGACAGGCCAAGCTTCTCGAAGCCCGATGCCGGCTTATTAGCTGACATGCTGGCCGAGCAGACTTCCAGAGGAGCCGAGAGACCATTCTTTGGGAATGATTCATCCACCGGTATGTATCTGATTCCCTTCCTCTTGCCTGATCTTTTATCTGACTGACGAAGGATTATTATTGCAGCGCCAACCATTGGGATTAGCCCGATATCGATCCCTGGCATATCCAGCTTGCCTCGGAGTGACGGGCTCGCATGTACGCATACGATTTGGGGATATCGTACTTCTCCATGTTCATCTAGCTTTTGACTAATATATGAGTGCAATCATAGAACCAGCCACCGGGACTGATTCTCATATGACTCCTGGCATTTCTCAGATGCCTACGGATGATGGATCTACAGGTATGCAGACGATTTTATTATCCCAATCCTCCTTATTTGTCTAAATTTTCATTTTGACTAATAAGAGGGTGCCACCATAGGACCAGCCGTTTGGGCCGATACTCTTATGACTCTTGGCATTCCGACTGCATCTGAGGACGGGGGAATCGCAGGTATGCATGAGATCTTCTTGTCCCGGTTCTCCTTATTTGTCCAAATTTTCATTTGGCTAATATAAGAGTGTAACTGTAGGACCGGCCGTTGAGCCTGATACTACTACAGTTCCCGGGGCTGAAAGCCTGCATAGAAGTAGTGCCTCTCCGCTCTTACCGAGTGATATGAGCAATCCGCCTGCAGGGGTTGATATACCCTCTTCTGCTGCTGCCTCAGAGCCTGTCGGATCTCAGCCCGAGGGGACGTCCGTTGGCGCTGGTATGCTCAGAACTTGCCTTTTGACTTTCCTTATCGTATTCGATAATCCGCTGAGTTTCTATGATTGTTGCTTGTAGGATTCCCGATCTTCCCTATACGAGCGTCGTCCCGTCCTTTTGGTCGATACTGATCCTGACAGGGAGGCGTTTTCCTACGGATCCTCAGTTTCTTCACCGCCTTTTAACGGCCCTGAATCGAGAAGCATTCTTCACAGACGGAGGCGGCCTTCGATCCAATTTAGGTTCCTTTTCGCAGCCACATGATGAATATGAGGAAGAAGGATACCGGACGTTGGCCGAATTCCTTCACTGTTGATTCTCGCTGCCCTGGCAGTCAGAGATACGAGAGTTGAAGAGGGAGTTGGATTACCGTGGGCTTCTTCTTTCGTGTCTCTCAGTTGAGCTTAGGATGGCACAGTGGCTGACCTCAAAATCTTCCATGGACAGCTTCAGTCAATGAGAGATCATTGCGCAGCTAATGGGCTATGTGGCGATGGGAAGATACGGAGAGAGCTGCAGCTTACTCCGCTCTTTGGACTCGAACCGCGAGGAAACGACTAGGTTGAAAGAGGCCTTGAAGCACGCCGAGGAATCTGCCGCTCTTATTGCAGATGACCTGGCTGGACTAGAGCGTTCTCGTGAACAGGCACTCGAGGAGCTCGGATCCACCCAGGAGAGACTGATGGAGCTGAAGAGTGAGGCCGCAGAGATTCTAAGCCATTCTGAAGAATCTGCTCGAGCTAATCTGCATGCGGAACTCGAGCGGAGTTATGTAGATAGACTCTTTAGTTTAAAGTCTCATATCCTCGAACGCCAACTGCCTTCGGGCTAACGAGCTTTTCATTGTATGCTTTTGACTCGGTCTATTAATAGAAACTCCGCATTTGCTTCTTTTGTGATCTTTCTGTACTTATTCTGAATGACAGATTTATGGAATTTTTGGCAAACCCCCAGCCCTCAACGGGTTTGATATGTCTTTACCGATTACCGTTTGAAATCGGACTAGCATGTGAATTATTAAA